CTGCCTTTCTCTCCTGCTCTGTCTCTCATGAATAAAAAAAAAAATCGGGAGAAGGACAGCTGCTCCAATAAAAAAAAATTGTGGACAGTGACTGTACATATGAAATTTATAGAAGTGGAAACCAAAAAGCCAACATGCATACAAAGAAAGGCTGAAAATCATCGGTAGTCAGTGAAATGCAAGTCAAAGTAACAACAAGCTATCATTTTACAGTAGGCTTTTTCGATGTTGCATTAGTGATATTTTGGGCCAGATAATTCCTTGATGTGGGGGCTCTTCTGTGCATTGTAGGATGTTAGCGGCACTCTTGGCCTTTACACACTGGATGCAGTAGACATATCAGTTGCAACAATCAAAAATGTCTCTAGACATTGCCAGTTGTCTCCTGAAGGACAAAATTGCTCCTAGTTGAGAACCACTGCTTTACACACCTATCAGCATGGCAAAAAATAGAAAGTTGGTTAATGCTAAGTACTGGCAGAGATATGGTGACATGGGAGCCTCAGGCATTGCTGGTGGATGTGTGGGCAGCACAACCATTCTTGAGAACAACAGCCAATTGAAATATACCATTACCTCATCACCCGGCAATTCAGTCTCTATAAAGAGCCATATATGAGGATGTTCTCTGCAGCTTTGTTTGACAGTGGGGAGTTAGAGGCAAATTACAAAGTGGTGGCAGAACGCTCCACCTAACAACAAAGGAAAATACATTTTTTTTTTCAGTGCACATGGAACAAGAAAAACCATACATTAGGCCACAAACAAGTCTTACTAAATTTTATTTTATTTTTTAAAAGATTTATTTATTTATTTGAGGGAGAGAGAGACAGCATGAGCTGGAGGGGGAGAGGGAGAGAGAATCTCAAGCAGACTCCACATTGAGCACAGAGCCCAATGTGGGGCTCGATCTCACAACCCAGAGATCACGACCTGAGCCAAAATCAAGAGTCATCACCCAATGTGGGGATTGAACTCACACTCCCAAGATCAAGAGTCATATGCTCTTCTGACTGAGCCAGCCAGGCGCCCCTTAAGAAAATGAATTTCTTAATTCATTCTATGAGACCAGTATTGCCCTGATACCAAAGCCAGATAAAGATATTACAAGAAAGGAAAACTACAGACCAATACCCTTTATGAATATTGATGAAAAAATCAACAGTATACTAGCAAACTGATTCAGCAGCATATTAAAAGGATACATTACAACCAAGTGAGATTTATTCCCGGAATTCAAAGTTGATTCAACATAAAAAAAAATCATGTAATACACCACAATAACAGAATGAAGGAGAAAAAATGATAATCTCAAATGATGCAGAAAAAAACTTTTGATAGAACTCAGTATCTTTTCATGATAAAAATACTCAACTAGAAATAGCAGGAAATTACCTCAGCAAAATAAGACCATATATGAAAAACTCACAGCTGACATCATTATAGGAGGTGAAGATTGAAAGCTTTTCCTTAAAGATCAGGATCAAGACAAGAATGTTCATTTTTACCACTTCTATTTAATATATTATTGGCAGTTCTAGCCAGGGCAATTAGGCAAGAAAAAGAAAAGCATCCAAATTGGAAAAGAAGAAATGAGATTACCTTTGTTTACAGATGACATGATCTTACATGTAGAGATCCCTAAAGATTTCACAAAAAATTCTATAGAGCTAATAAAGAAATACACCAAAGTTGCAGGATTCAAAACCAACACACAAAAATCAGCTACGTTTCTATATGCTAATAAAGAATAATTCCAAAAGGAAATTAAGAAAACAAATCTATTTACAAAAGCATCAAAAAATAGTGTGGAATAAACTTAACTAAGGAGGCAAAAGACTTATACACTGAAAACAATAAAACATGGCTGAAAGAAATTAAAGACACAAATGGAAAGAAAGACATCATGTTCATGGACTAGAAGGCTTAATATTGTCAAGATATCAATACTACCTAAAGCAATCTACAGATTCACTTCAATCCCTATAAAAATTTCAATGTTTTTCCAGAAATAGAAAAATTCACCCTAAAATTCATATGGAATCTCAAGGGACCCTGAATAGCCAAAATCATCTTTAAAAAGAAGAACAAAGTTGGAAGACTCATATTTCCTAATTTCAAAACTTATTAACAAATTATAGTAATAAAAAAACAGTAGGGTATCAGCCTAAAAACAGATATACAGACCAATGGAATAGAATACAGAGGTCAGAAATAAACCATCATGTATATGGTTAAATGGTGTTTGACAAAGATACCAAGTCCATTCAATGAGACAAAGTACAGTCTTTTCAACAAATGATCCTGAGAAAATTGGGTATCCACATGCAAAAGAATGAAGCTGGACCCTTACCTTACACCATATAAAAAGTTAATTCAAAAAGGATCAAAGACTTAATTATAAGAGCAAAAACTGTAGAATCTTAGAAGAAAACATATGGGAAAAAATTCATAATATTGACTTTGGCAAGGATTTCTTGGATATGACACCAAAAGTTTAGGCAACAACAGAAAAAATGGATAAACTGGACTTCATCATAATTGAAAACTTTTGTGCATCAAAGGGCACTGTTAAAAGAGTGAAAGTACAAACCACAGAATGGGAGAAAATATTTGCAAATCCTGTTATCTGCCTAGGAATTAATATCCAGAATATATAAAGAACTCCTACAACAAAAAGGCAAACAACTCATTTCAAAAATGGGCAAAGGACTTGAATAAATGTTTCTCCAAAGATATACAAATAGCTAAAAAGCACATGAAAAGATGCTCAATATCACTAGCCATTAGGGAAGTGTAAATCTAAACCACAACAGATACCAATCTATACCCACTAGGAGGGTTATTATAAAAACTAAAAATAAAATAAGTGTCTGTAAGGATGTGGAAAAGTTAGAATCCTTGTGCATTGCTGGTGGGAATGTAAAAAAAAAAAAAAAAATGCAGTGGAAACCAGTTGAGCATTTCCAAACTGTTAAACACAGAATGACCATATGATCAAGCAATTCCACTTCTGGGTATATTCCCCCAAAAATTGGAAGTGGGGACTCCAACAGATACTTGTACACCAATGTTCATAACAGGACTACTCACAATAGACAAAAGGTGAAAACAACCCAAGTATCCATTAACAGATGAACGGAGTAGCAAAATGTAGTAAACACATAATGTACTATTATTCAGTCTTAAAAGGAATGTATCCTATAATACGGATGAACCTTGAAAACATGCTAAACAAAATAAACCAGACACACGAGAACAAATATGAAATGATTCGTCTTATATGAGTTTCCTAGAATAGGCAAATTCATAGAGACAGAAAGTAGAACAGTGGTTACCAGTGGCTAGGAGAAGGGGGGAATGAGAAGTCAGTGTTTAATTGGTACAGAACTTCAGTCTGGGATAATGAAAAAGTTCTGGAAATAGTGCTAATAGTTGCACAACTCTGTGAATATACTTAATGCCACTGAATTGTACACTTAAAAATAGTTAAAATGGGGGGATCCTGCCTGGCTCAGTCAGTAAGAGCGTGTGACTCTTGATCTCAGGGCTGTAAGCTCAAGCCCCAGGTTGGGCGACTGACTCTTGATTTTGGCTCAGGTCGTGATGTCAGAGTTGTGGGATCGAGCCCGATGTCGGGCTTCATGCTCAGTGTGGAGTCTGCTTGTCCCTCCTCTCCCTCTGCTCCTCCCCTCTCCTCTCTCTCTCAAATAAATAAAATCTTAAAAATAAACAAAGAAATAAATCTTAAAAAAATCATTAAAATGGTAAGTTTATGCTATATATATCTTACTACAATTTTAAAAATATCCTGGACACACAGGAAATAGAATAGGATATATAACATATAAACTTAAAATAAGTGCCTATAAAATATTATTCATATTTCAAGAGCACATATTAATTACTAGAATTAGTAAGAGACAACTCAAATTCTTTTTTTTAAAGATTTTATTTATTTATTTGAGAGAGAGAGAATGAGAGAGAGAGAGAGCACGAGAAGGGAGAGGGTCAGAGGGAGAAGCAGACTCCCTGCTGAGCAGGGAGCTTTATGCAGGACTCGATCCCGGGACTCCAGGATCATGACCTGAGCCGAAGGCAGTCGCTTAGCCAACTAAGCCACCCAGGTGCCCTCAAACTCTTTTTTAAAAAAGATTTATTTATTTATTTTAGAGAGAGAGAGAGCATGCAAATGATTGGGAGGGGCAGAGGGAGAGAGAATCTAAAGCAGAGGAGCCTGATCGGGGGCTCAATCTCACGACCCTGAGATCATGACCTGAGCCCAAATCAAGAGTTGGATGCTTAACCGACTGAGCCACTCAGGTGTCCCAATTACTCAAATTCTAAAGTTGGTCTCACAATGCAACGTGGTTTCTACCAATTGCTTGAAGAAAAACAATGTAAAAGTATTTCATTTATTAGATATTAAAATTTACAAAATTATCATAATTATAATAGTGAGGTAATTAAGGCATTGTGGCTAAGATAGCATATGTAATGACAGGCCAATGGAATGTTTCAGAGAGCCTGGAAAAGGCCTAAGTATCCACAGACAGTTGATTTACAGTAAAAATGGTATTCAAGAGCAGTGGAGAAAGTACGTTCTTTTCAGTAATTAATGCTAGGAAAACTGGATAGTCATATAGAAAAAAAAAATGAAACTCAGTTACTACCTAACATCATATACAACATAAATTCCATATCTGTGTCTGTAACATAAAATAGTGAAAGTTTGGGAGAAAATACATGGGAGACATCTCCCATCTATTATATTGTCATAATAAACAGGAGGGAGAGAAAATAAAAAAGGAAAATATTGATAAGTTTAAACATGTTAAAATTTAGACTGTTGGCTCCGTGTTCACTAACCCCAAACTATTCCCAATTCTGTCTCAATCCCTACCAGTTCCCCACTTTGAAAGACTCATCTTAAAATAAAAGAGCCCTTACCCCAAATCTCTAAAAATACCCTAACATCCCCCCTTTTTTTAAAAAAAAAAAGATTCTATATATCCATTTGAGAGAGAGAGTGAGAGAGTGAGCATGAGCAGGGGGAAGAGCAGAGGGAGAAGTAGACTCCCCGCTGAGCAGGGGGCCTGACGTGGGGCTCGATCCCAGGACCCCGGGATCATGACCTGAGCCGAAGGCAGACGCTTAACCCACTGAGACACCCAGGCGCCCCTAACATCCCCTTTTGAATTCTCACCAAGACTGTATCAAGTTGATGTGCCTCCTTGCTACAGGTTTAATCACTCAGCTTTGTTTGATGAACAGGTTTCCTTGATGGTCTTTGTGGGGGAATAAAAAATCGACAGTCCTTATCTTTTTAAGATATATACTAAAATCTTTATAGACAGAAGGATATCATTTCTGAGATCTGCTCCAAAATTAATTAAAAAAATAGATAAAGTATATAGGGATAGTTAAGATCCATCAAAAATTGTTGAAGGTGGGTAATGGTACATGAGAGTTCATTATACTACTCTAATTCTGTATGTTTTAAATCCACTCTAATAATTGTAAAAACTTATTTTTCTCTTTTTTTAGTCCTTAAGAGGGCATGTTCATTAAGGTCACAATAGAGTTACAATATCTGCCTGTGATTGCCAGGCTCACATGCAGGAAGCACCTAGGCAAACATGCTGGATTTTGGAGTTCTGCCACGGATGGAAGGTGGGGGAGAGCAAAGTAGTTGCTGATTTTAAATAATTCTTTTTTTTTTTTAAAGATTTATTTATTCATTTGAGAGAGCGAGAATGAGAGAGAGTACATGAGAGGGGGGAGGGTCAGAGGGAGAAGCAGGCTCCTCGCTGAGCAGGGAGCCCGATGCAGGACTCGATCCCGGGACTCCAGGATCATGACCCGAGCCGAAGGCAGCTGCTTAACCAACTGAGCCACCCAGGCGCCCCCAAAATAATTCTTTTTAATCCCCTCCTACTACAACCTCATAATTTGGAACTAAGGGCAGATATAATTAACTTAAATTTGACATTTAAATCTTGATTAAAACAAATAAAAAAGGGGGTAGGGAATATTTTCTGTGCTTTCTTTATTCAGACAGTGAACTGTGTTATAGTCAGCTACATTCTTAGTTGTGCTTAGAATGTGCTCCCTCCTACACTTTACTCTGGAAAAATGAAGCTTCTTATTCTGTCTTAGAATCCTGGACCCTGAAATGGGCAGTTAGGACGATTCCACATACATGCAGAGTGATGCCCAGTTTGAGGCTCTGAGTAGCTAGTCATATAAGTTGACTTTTCTGTGCATTTGTATCGAGGAGGATCCAGCTCAGGTTGATGTCTTGGAAACCAGTGAGGCTCTCTCTTAAACCCTGAGGGAAGAGAGAAGAGAAGGAAAGGCAAGTGGAATCAGTCAACAACAACGAGCCTTAGTAACCGGTCTTGTTCTTATTTCTGAGGGAAAATTTTTGAGTCTAGTGAAGCCTGTCAAAATTGAGAAAAGAGAAAAATCAGGGGCGCCTAGGTGGCTCAATTGGTTAAGTGTCTGCCTTCGGCTCAGGTCATGATCCCAGGGTCCTGGGATTAAGTGCTGCATGGGGCTCCCTGCTCCACAGGGAGCCTGCTTCTCCCTCTCCCTCTGCCTTCCACTCCCCCTGCTCGTGCTTGTGCTCTCTCTCTCTCTGTCAAATAAATAAATAAAATCTTTAAAAAAGAGAGAAAAATCATTTACTCATTCATGCACTTATTCACTCATTCAATTTACTTTTACTTGAGCTCCTTCTATGTTCCAGACACTGAGTTAGGTCCTGAGAATATAAAGATTGAAAAGAATAGTCCACCTACTATGAGTTGAAAGTGGCATTTTGTTGTTATAGCTCCTATCATATGTTGTTTCAAAGTAGTGTCCAAACTGGAATGAAAAAGTAATCAGTTGAAAATATAGGAGTCTACACTTAATGTTGAGAAATAAAGGACCAATGAAATGAATTTTAACAGACTGTTATATTTTGGATTAACTAGAGGTCTATATGTTGTTAGTCTACATTCTACTAACTTTCATATCCTTTGTTTACTTGTTTGTTTAGGAGACACTTAAAGGCAAAATGCAGATAAATGACAAGTCTAGGTAGGCAGCCTGAGTCAGAAGACATATATTTATGTAGATGAAGAAAGTCTAAAGAGAAGCAAGAGAAAAGGAGTACTACCCATACTTATACTACTTTACTATTCTACTTGATAGTAAAATAGGACAGCCATTCCACCTAAAGACTGCTGTCCACTCCCAACCACCTCACTAAACAGAGAGGCCTGAGAGATCTCAGCATGGACGTTATCAGATTCCTACTTCTAAAATGGCCACTGGTATTTCTTTTGCTAACGGAAGGAAAGAGAAGAGAAAGTTAGATTACCTGGGAAGGCAAGGGTTTGGGCTGCACGATATTCCTTAGGTCATATCTTTCCTGGTTCCAGTTTCCCATCAGGGTACGGTTTGAATAGGCATTCTCATTAGTGGTACATCTCCATCCATACTGGAAAAACTTGGACATATCATTCCAATCTGTCCACACTTCAGCATGGCCATCTGCATTAATGAGGCTGCCATAGTGTGGATTAGCTAGGAAATAGGCAAGGCGCTGTCTCTGGGAAAAGGCGAGAACAGAAAGGCTAGTTGCATAAACTAGGGAACAGAAAAGGCATTCATCCCTTTCTCACCCCTGGCCAAGTATAACATAAGCACACCTTACTAAGGATCTAGGCTTTCCTCCCAATTTAACTGTGGTTCTGTTTCGTTCTCTCCTGGTCCATGAATCCTTTGACCTAGTCAATCACAAGTAGCAGATGGCTATGTACATTAAATGCCACCCCCCCAAAGATGGGAAAACCTTCAGTATCCCCAATACTATATGGAAAACTAGCTAAATGTTCAGGAAATTTTGAGATGTAAGAGTTTAAGGACTAAGGATATTACTATAGCCAAAGAGAATAGGGAAAAGTGAAAGTTGGATAACTAGATAACACAACAAAGGTTCAATAAATGATAGTTTCCTTCCTTCTGGTCTCAGCTCAAATGCCATTTCTTCCATGATGTCTTCCAAGTTAACTTCTCTCTCCTTTGTCTCACACAGAATGGTATCTTCATATCTTTAGCTTTCTACCATACATTAGAATTCTTCAAGTATATGTTGAATCTCCTATATTGAACTGTGTACATCCCTTTAGGAGAGGCCCTATGTCTTATTATCATACCCTCTCCCTCTGCCTGCTCTCCCAGTCAATGGTGCTTTGCATGTATCAGGTGACCAATGTCTGAATTTCAATTTTTTTGTAAGGAATCAAAAGCCTAGCCATTTTTATTTTGGGCCAAAAGATGACCATGGTCCCTTGGCTTGGGGGCAAGACAATACCTTCACTGAAGAAGAGCATTTTGATGCTGAGTGGCTTGTGTTGTTTGAAGAATTTGTAGGAAAGTGACAAAAAATATTATTCAGCTGTTCCATTTTCTTTAAAGGAAGAGGTATCACCAAACTTGGCCTTCCCGTTCTTCGAGCAAAGAAAGAATGTAGGTCACCCAGATCACCATGGCCAGGAGGCCATGATTTGGGAGTCACCACCCACCGAGCCACCTTTCCACAGGTAAGGACAAAGTCAATACTGTAGCTCTCATACCATGTGCCTTTGTGAAGAGAGATGTGTGCACTGATGTCAACAAATAGCATGATGACTAAAGAGTAATTCCTGCAAAGTCTGACAAGCCTAGTACTCACACTGTAGACCAAGAGGACACTGACCTTGGGGCTGTAGGGACAGACATCACCATCCACTCAGTTGCCCAAGGCCAAAACCTGTGGCTCATCTTTGACTTTGATTTCTCTTTCAACCCCTTATACCCATCCAAACTCTAGGTCTTACTGATTTTTGAATCAGACCACTACCCTCCATCCCCACTGCCAAGTTCCAGTTTAGATCACTACCAGCTTTTGTCACCATTACTGCTGTAGTTGACTCTCTGATCTCCTTGCCATCAGCCTTAGTCTTCTCCAATCCTTTCTCCATAGTAAAGAAGAACGGTGTGAAAATGAAAATCTAATTGTGTCATCTTCCTATTTAAAAGCTGGCCACTGTTAGAATAAGACTCAGGCTGTTAAAATGGCTTACGGTGTTCTACATGACCTGGCCCCTGCTTAACTCTTCCTTCTCCTCTGTTACCCACTCTCCCTCCACCTACATTTCAGCCAAACTCAACTACTCTGTTTCTCCATCATGCTTTTGCAAATACTGTTCCTCCTGCCTCTTCACTTCTCTTTACCTGGGTCAGGTGTACTCCCCCTCAGCTTTTTTCTTTTTTAAAAAAAGATTTTACTTATTTGAGAAAAAGAGAGAGCGAGTGAGCGCACAAGCGCGGGGGTGGTGGTGGGGGGAGAGGGGCAGGCAGAAGGAGAGGGAGAAGCAGACGCCCCGCTGAGCAGGGAGTCTGATGCGGAGCTCATCCCAGGACCCTGGGATCATGACCTGAGCCGAAGGCAGGCTCTTAAGTGACTGAGCCACCCAGAATTCAGGTTCACTTCATTTAGGGAATCTTCCCACTTCATCCCAGAAGTTGGTAAGGTTCTAAATCCTTCTGTGTGCCCTACAGCACCCTGAGGGACTCCTCATAGCGCCGCATCCCACTGTACCAGAATTGCCTCTTTTGCTGCGCAGTCTCCATCAGACTATAAGCTCAGTGAAATCCCAGGCCACATCTTATTCATCCATGTATTTAGCCGCCCTCACAGTGGCCTGGCACATAACAGACACTCAGTATTTCTTGAATGAATAAAAGGTAGGAGATAGAAGCACCTGGAGAAATCCCGCGCAGCCGAGACAATGGACAGCAGCCATTGCGGACGAGAGGAAGGCTACCCGGTGTGACAACAACAAGCAGAACACAGCCAACCTCTCGACCTCGGTCCCGCCCCTGTCCTTTCACTCAGAACTCGCGTCGCCCGGGCTCTGTCCCTGTGCGCTGGTAACTGCTTGTGACCTCATGCAGGCGTGACGAAGTCGGGCTAAAAGGCATTTATTTTGACACTCCTGAGGCTGTGAGGGAGTGAGGGGTCGGGGTGGTCGGTGTCTCGCTTTTGCACTCATTGGCTGTTTTCCCCCTGAAGTCGCGGCACCAGCTTCTCAAGACAACCGGACGCTGTCGGTGCATCATCAATCAGCGACGGACGAAGAGGAGGCCCGCAGAGACCCCCCCCCCGGAGGAAGTGACGTAAGAAACTGGCGCCTCCGAGGACGCGAGCGGGGAGGAGGTTGAGGCCATGGCCCCTCGGCGCCTCCTGTTGGTTGGGGAGGGGAATTTCTCCTTCGCTGCTGCTCTGAGCGAGACCCTGGATGCGAGCGCCCGAGTAACGGCCACCTGCCTCCGGCGCCCGGCCGACTTGGCCCGGGATCCGGTGGCCGGGGAGAATCTGCAGCGCCTGCGCGAGCGAGGTAGCGAGGCCAACCCCTCCGCGAAGCCCCGCCCCGCTGCTGGCTCGGCCCGAAGTGGAAAGGGTGGGGACGTGTGGCCGTAGGGCGCGCGTGGCTTGCTTTTGAGCGTCCGGTTCCCTGAAAGCCGGCAGTGGGCTTGTACCTGGGTTGTCTTGCACTGTCCAGGTTAGGGAGGGATTCAGGTCTGGAGACACCCTCCTGTCTATATTTCGTGCTAGGTACTGAGGTGCGTTTTGGCGTGGACTGCACCCGGCTGGCGGATGCCTTCGAACTGCACCACAGGGAGTTTGATCGAATTTATTTTAATTTTCCGCACTGTGGACGAAAAGCTGGAGTAGCTAAGAACAGGGAACTGCTTGCCAAGTTTTTCCAGAGGTGAGGAAATGAGACCGCTCACAAGTAAAATATTTAAGATGTACATTACATAGTTACTGCACTCACACATTTTAGTTTGAGAAATAAGGCATACGTGTGTAAGTTAAATGTGATAGTTTTAGAGAGACTATAAAGCTCCAGAGGAACCCACAATCTAGTTGGAAAGGCTGACATGTAACCCTAAATGTTAAATAAAAGTACAAATAGTATGTATGCTCTTGGGTGTGTAAAAGGAGGATCACCTATTTTGGATAAGGCAAAATAATGGTAGCCAGTATAATCTAATGGCTAAAAGCATGGATTCAAAATCCCCACCCACCACTTAATAGTTGTATGATTTGGGGTAAGCTTACAAGTAAAAGCAAGTACCCTTACTTGCTTTTTTTTTTAAGATTTTATTTATTTATTCATGAGAGACAGAGAAACAGAGGGAGAAGCAGGCTCCCAAGGAGCGGGAAGCCCGGTGCGGGACTCGATCCCAGGACCCTGGGATCATGACCTGAGCCGAAGGCAGACGCTCAACCATCTGAGCCACCCAGGCGCCCCCCTTACTTGCTTTTGCTTCTTCATCCATAAACTGAGGATATTGAGGGTAACTACCTCAAATTAATGTGAACTTAAAACAGTGCTTTACACGATTATACCAAAACGTGTGGTACTCTTGGAGGACTCTAGGGGTCATAGTTGTCAAGAAGGTTTTCACACAGCCAGGATTTTAAGTTAGTATTTGAAATACAGAATTTTAATAGAAAGGGAGTGAAGAGAACAATTTTCAAAACTGGGAAGAACAGCCCAATCAGTGAATCACGTATAGGAACTTCGCAGACATTGACCTTTCTATGACATTAGATGAACAATGCAGATACAAAGCCAGGTAATACCCTGGTCAAGCACTAGTATCAGTTAATAGTTGAACATTGAATTTACATCCTTACTTCCAGCTACTTCCTTTGCATGTTTGAAGTCTATAGACCTTTGTAAAAAGATACGATTGGATTTTAATTATTTCACAGCCAAACCAAGTATATACAGCTTGCTTTCTATGATAATTTCAACTTGTTTCTGATAAATTGCTGGTGTCCACCCCTCCCTATTAGCTGTAAAGATGTTCTTGCAGAGGAAGGAGAAGTGCATGTGGCATTGTGCAGAGGACAAGGTGGGACTCCTGCTGATAAGCCCATGAGAGAATGGCACAACAGTTGGCAAGTGGTTGCCATGGCAGCTCTGGGCGGATTCATCTTAAGTGACGTGCGTCCCTTCAGCTGTGAGGCTGTCCCAGGGTACAAGTGCACTGGATATAGGTGAGTAATAACAGACATCTAAGCCTTTCTCATCTCTCATACTAATAATGAAAAAAATCTCTTAGGCAAACTTTCCCCTACCAATTTCCTGCTTTGGTCTCTAGAAATGCTTGCTTTTAAAAATAATGACAATAGGGGCGCCTGGGTGGCTCAGTCGTTAAGCGTCTGCCTTCAGCTCAGGTCATGATCCCAGGGTCCTGGGATCGAGCCCCGCATTGGGCTCCCTGCTCAGCGGGAAGCCTGCTTCTCCCTCTCCCCCTCCCCCTGCTTCTCCCTCTCCCCCTCCCCCTGCTTGTGTTCCCTCTCTCGCCGTGTCTCTCTCTGTCAAATAAATAAATAAAATCTTAAAAAAAGATAAAAATAATGGCAATAAATAAATTAATTAAAAAAATGACAGACTCCATACTTGGTGACTATTTTGCCAGGAGTCAAGATAAGTCCTTTCATGTAGAAGGTGCTTTGAACCATATCTTCACCCGGAGCTTACCCTTTGAAGGTTCACAACCCAGAATCTTCAGGATCAAACTGGGTGACCGGTGGTTTTCCTTTGCAGAACCAGATGCACTTGTGGGAAAGTTGAACAGGTAACCTGCTGTTTTACCAGAAATTACTTCTTTCTCTAGCTCTATCCTGATTGGCTTGATGGCAACTGTGTATTGAATGGATGCTATATAAATTGTTAATGATGTTGGTGCTATGAATACTTGTCAGTCTGGCCTTACACAAGCCTTTTTAGAATTAAAATTTGTCATATTTTCTGGTATATCATACGGATGGTGGCTGTCAGAGTTCTGAAACACATGATATCTGTTTCTGGTAGATAATTTTTTTTATTTGCTTTTAGGATCATCTTAAGGATAATTCTTTTCTATACAGCTATTTGTGCTTTTAATTCTAGATCCATTATAATTATTATTTGAAGTTAAAAAGTTATTTTTATGTGTGTTTAAACAGAGGTTTCCTAGAAACACCTTCATGTCATCCTATCAGAACCATTAATGAGAAACTCATTGCTGAATTGGGCAAAGCTTTCCCTCTGAAGAGGCTGAAGTGTTCCTTCCCTTTTCTGCCAGAGGGAAGCACCAGTGATCTCACTTCCTGGAACTGTGACAGTCTGTCAGCTGCCTTTTGGATTAGCCTCCGTGAAGATAACTCAAATTCTGAGTCCCTGACTGGCGGGATAACACAAGACATGGAGGACTTTCTAGTGTTTTTTTCAGAATTTAGCCTTCTCAAGGATCCTGGAAGAGACAGCAAGGAAGAAGCTCGTGAAGAAATCTATGTCCAAACCAAGGTCTGTCTTAGACCTTCTCTCCTAGTTCATGTTCAGGCTGTCATCCAAGGACCAGACTTCCTCCCAGGTTCCCTGCATGTCCTCAGTGGACCTGTCTTTCGGAAGTGCCACATCTTGCCTTTCACCATGCCGGCATTTCATGAGACTTTATTTATCCTTGGGTTTAATAAAAATCTGAAGGATGGTTATCTTCAGTCACTACTGGATCACCTGAAGGGCGCTCTCGATAGCCTTCTGATTCAGACATTGCTGGAGGGCTCTAAGCTGAGCAGTTCAGTGGAATTTGTCTTTCAACCAAATGGGAAAGATTATATTATTAATGTGAAGTCTCATAATTTTGGCTCAGATTGTGCCAAGGATCTGATTATTGGGTCTGTCACTACGTCTGTTACAAGCATACACAAGGACCAGTGTTTTATGTTTGTGTCTTTGAACTTGGACCTACTAGCCATGCTTGTCTGGGGTATCTCTGACTGGAGGATGTTGTGGACCTTTGATCACCGTTTCCTGAAGAATTTTGTTCCTGGGAAAATAGAACCCTTTAAAAGCTATTCCCTGTATCCCCCGTGTTATGTGCATGATATTAGTTTTTGGTTAGATGAGAAGAAAGAATTTGATGAACTTGAGTTTCACACGGTGGCCCGAGCAGTGTCCCAGGAGACTGTCATATCCATACAATTCCTTAGTCGTTTCCAGCATCCAAAGACTCAACAGGTCAGCCTCTGCTACAGATTGACTTACCAGACATGTGACAAGGCCCTCACCCCGCAGCAAGTGGCATCAATGCAGTCCCAGTTTAGGAAGGAGATTCAGCAAAGACTACATGTAATACCTCGGTAGTTTAGTAAATTTACCTCTCAAGTGTGATCCTTGTGGGTATGGGTGCGGGTGCAGATGAAAAAGACCAATTTGGGGGGCCTGGATGGCTCAGTCGGTTAAGCATCTGCCTTCGGCTCAGGTCATGATCTCAGGGTCCTGGGATGGAGACCCACGTTGGGCTCCCTGCTCAGAGGGGAGTCTGCTTCTCTCTCTCCCTCTGCCCATCCCCCCCGCTTGTGTGTGTGCTCTCTCTTTCTCTCTCAAATAAAATCTTAAAAAAAAAAAAAAGAGAACAAGACCAATTTGTAACTGGTAGTCCTTTCTGGATTGTGTTTTTTGTAAAATCTTTTACCTTGTGACTCTAGCCAATGTTGGTTGACTCTAAAGAAACTTGGGGCTCTGTCACTTAAACTCATAGACTGTAATGTGATTGGTGACCTTTGGAGTTGTACCGTATTTTGATCCTGAGTCATGAGTAGGAAAACTAACAAAACAGTATCTTGTACTTTAGATGCTTTATTTGTGAAGATGCAATAGAACTTCAGCGTCATATTTATATTTTTTCCACACTGCCAATTCCTCTTCCTTTATCCCAATATGTATTATCTTAATCAATTTATGAGAGTGGTTTTTGGAGTCAGACCAACATTTATTAGCTTGGGTAAGTTAAAAGTGCTCCATAATTAGTATGGGTATCATCATCATAACATTTATTCCATGGTTGACTACTGTTGAAGTCATGGAACTAATTAATGTCAGATTTAGAGTTCACACTTGGGTTTTTCTGACTCAGAAGCCCATGTTCCTTCTCCCATTGTTACTTCTCCTTCCCTAGTCTTCTTCACTAGTAACCTCTCTGCTGTGATTAACTCTAAACTTTGCCCTCCTAGATTTTGGAGGCTTCTGTTGTAAGCACCTCTCAGAGACACTGGGAGACTAGCTCAGCCCAGGACTCTACAGAATGGAGTCCTCTAATGTTAATTAATGTATGTTCCCATTAATTAATAGTTAGGCTCCGCAGATTGGAATTATATTGTAATCTCTGGGAAGGAAGTAACTGCCTTATTTGTTCGTATATTTGGAGAAAAGCATGTAGAAAGGCAAGAATGGAAGCCAAGATACAAACTAGGAGGTAATTACGGTAATGCCAATGAGAGATAATGGTGACCTGGACCAGGGTGGTAAGATGTTGTTGGGCTGGGTAATATTTAAAAGGATTTGCTGATGAACTATCTGTGTATGGGTGAAGGGCGCAGGGCTAAAGAAACAGGAATCAAGCAGGACTGACTGCGTGGTTTTTGACCTGGAAGAACAGAAGTATCATTAACCGGGATGGGAAAACTAGCATAACATTCTGGGGAGTGGGGTAAAGAATCAAGGGATTCTTTTTTTTTTAAAGATTTTATTTATTTATTTGACAGAGAGATAGCGAGAGAGGGAACACAAGCAGGGGGAGTGGGAGAGGGAGAAGCAGGCTTCCCGCGGAGCAGGGAGCCCGATGCGGGGCTCGATCCCAGGACTCTGGGATCGTGACCTGAGCCGAAGGCAGACGCTTAACGACTGAGCCACCCAGGCGCCCCAGAATCAAGGGATTTCTTATGGACACATTTATTGCTTGTCTTTCTACACAGATTATAAACTAATTGAAGGCAGGTAATGTGATTATAGCTTTCTTTGTTTTTATTAGAGAGTACACACACATTTCTTATGAACACATTTATTGCTTGTCTTTCTACACAGACTATAAGCTAATTGAGGGCAGGTAATGTGATTTATAGCTTTCTTTGTTTTTATTAGAGAGTACACACACACCACACACACACCGGGTGGGGGTGGGGTTGTTGCAGAGGCAGAGGGAGAGAGAGAATCTCAAGCAGGCTCCATGCCCAATGCTGAGCCCAATGTGGGGCTTGATCTCATGACCCTGAGATCATAACCCGAGCCAAAACCAAGAGTCAGACGCCTAACCCACTGAGCCACCCAGGCATCCCTGATATATAGCTTTCTTCTACCCTAATAGTGCCTAGTACAGGGACAAGGTAGCATTTGAGCTGGATCTTAAAATAAGGGCAGTGATGTGATGGGAGGATTGTCAGGCAAGGAGGACATCCATTCTGGGCGGAGGTATAGATAAGGGAGCAGTGGAGGCACTTTCCAGGCTAGTTAGTTGGAATGTAAATGTGTAGAGGAAAGTAGTGGGAGATAAGATTAGAAAAGTAGGTTAGAGCTGGATTTAGCTGATTAAAGACAATGCTGGAATATGGGATTTGTACTTCATTTGGCAGGCAATGGGAGAACTGGTGATTTTTGATTAAGGAGGCAATACAGAGTAGTGCTTTTGAAAATTAATTAGACAGTGTTGCATAGGATGAATTTGAGATGAAGGACCTCTGTAAGGATGCTATTGTAGTACTCCTAGGTAGAGGCAGGGAGGGGCCTGCATTAGAGTGAAATGAGAAGGGGAATGAAAAAGGGATGTCTATAGGAGATAGGGCTAGGCTGGGATGTCTGAACTTGGTACCTAATGATTGCCTATAGGAATTGAGCAATATGATCAATCTCCATTTTCAATATTTGTGAATTTTTAGTATGAAATAATAATCTGGGACCCTGTCAAGTCCAGCACTCCCTCTATATAACATTCTAAGTATATAGCAGTATATATTAAGTTGATGGTCATTTAAGTTTGAACACCTAAAAGAACTTCATTTTCACCCCCCCTCCACGTTTTATGTATATGTTGTCCTATTTTACATCTTTTTATTTTGTGAGTCCCTTTAATTTTTTTAGGTATAATTGATTTTACTACTTTTGTCTTTTAACCTTCATCCTAGCTTTATAAGTGATTATTACCTTTATGTTTGCTTTTACTCATGAAATTTTTTCTTTCTGTAATTGTCTTCTACTTATTGCGCCCCCCCCCCCCCCTTACAGAAGTCCCTTTAACATTTCTTGCAAGGCCCATTTCAGCACTCCCTGTACAAACGTTTCAGCTACTGCTACAGAGCTCCACAGGATGGGAGAGAACGCTGTGATTGGGGGAGTGGGCAGGGTATCAGGAACAGATGAATAACCCCTGAGAGTCAGAGGTATGACATCAGGATCTTCTTCCTAATCTTCTGGGAAAAGCATGGGCTTTGTAATAAGACAGACCTGAGTTGGAATAGGGCTCCACCATTTCCTAGCTATGCAACCTTGGGCCTCAGTTTACTTATTGATAAGAACAAGGTGGTTGTATTACATTTAAAAAGGATAAAGTATGTAAATTGCTTACCAAATTGCTGTAGTAGAATGGCAGTGCCTGGGGTCTGGTTGATTTGTTGCACAGAGTTTCTTGAGGCTTTCATTTTCCTTATTCTATATTCTGCCATTACAGCTTTGTCTCTCTGAAGCAGTTAATTAGCTACAGGCGGTCTCTATCACGCTCCCCCAAAGACAGAGAGGGCCAGGTGCCAGTGACCTTTTAATGACCTCCCTTTCATCTGCAGCTGTGCTGTCATCTTTAACTGGATAAATACCTCTGCCCACTCCGTAGAGTTGTTTAGCCACTTTCCATTTGTGCTGAAGAGGGAGGGAGAGTGGGACGGAGGGCGGAATGCCCAGAGTTACAAATATGTGGAAGGGATAGCTGTGGTGGCGAAAGTCAAGTCTCAGGTCTCATTTCTTTTCTGCTTCGGGATTTGCCCCAACTGGCCCAATAACTTTATAATTTAGTCTTTTTTTTTTTTTTTAAAGATTTTATTTATTTATTTGAGAGAGAACGAGACAGAGAGAGAGAGCACGAGATGGGGGAGGGTCAGAGGGAGAAGCAGACTCCCCGCCGAGCAGGGAGCCCGATGCGGGACTCGATCCCGGGACTCCAGGATCACGACCTGAGCCGAAGGCAGTCGCTTAACCGACTGAGCCACCCAGGCGCCCCTATAATTTAGTCTTGTCTGCGCATGTCCAGGTCTTTTGTCCCTCGGCGGACACCGTTGCCAGCCAAAGCTATGTCTCCGCGCTTGCCGCCTTCGTAGGGTGCCGAATTGTACCTTTTTCCCACGCGTGCCATGGCGAGCCGAGGGGCTCGTCAGCGCCTGAAGGGGAGCGGGGGCAGCGGCGGGGACACAGTCTCGGCCGCGGACAAGCTGCGGGAGCTGCTGTGCAGCCGTGAGGCGAGCGGCGCGGAGCCCCGGACCGAGTAGGTGTGCGGGCGCGGCGGGGGCGTGGCGGCCGGGCGGCGCGGCGCGGGGCAGCGCCGGAGGGTCTCTGGGGGCGGCGCGGGTCCAGCCAGGCCGCCTTTCCCCCCGGGTTCTTCTGCTCTCCCTGCACGGGTCACGTCCGGTCTTCGCCCCACCCTGGGCCCCCATCCCGGGTCCCGTGTTTCTCGGGAAGAAAGCCTGGAGGGAGGCTCCGAGGCTGCTGGCCCAGGCCCCGAGCGGGCTGGCGTCAGGGTGTTTGAGTTGGCCGAGCCTCGGTGGCAAGGGCAAAGAGCAGACCTCTTTCGGCTGTCTCTCTGCTTCCTTCCGTGCCCGCAAAGTCCCAACCCCTTACTCTTCAGTGTGGGCCCCACAACCTGCGGCGCCTGCAGCCGTCTGTCTCCCCAAGCCCGGGGCACTGCGGGTTAGGACCGCACTGAAGGAGCGGTCAGCATATGGAACTGGAGGAGGTTACGTGCTTTGCACAAATTAGGCCTCTGTGCATTTGAACAAGTGGGGAAATGAATAAAGATGCATAATGATGACCTTGTTAAGAGAAGAAAGAAAAGGAGAACGAGAGCTTTGTGGCCTTCAAGGAGCGACATCGAGGCAACGCATTAAAGTGTATGAATGAGCTTACGCATTAAAAGCAGGAAGTGGAAAGAGTAAGATCAGTTCAGGTCTTCGTCCCTTCTGTATTCTACTTAGAACAACCAACTTCTTAGGTGAATTAAGTGTGCTTCGCTGTCCTTGCCATTCTTGTCGTTTCTGTCTAGTTTCAGCCCTTCTAGTTAGTAGGTCTTCCTGACACATCCTCCCTTTGCTTCTGAGCAGGTTATCTGGGAACAAAGCAGGACAAGTCTGGGCACCTGAAGGATCTACTGCTTTCAAGTGTCTGCTCTCAGCAAGGTTATGTGCTGCTCTCCTGAGCAACATCTCTGACTGTGATGAAACATTCAACTACTGGGAACCAGTAGGTGATTTCTTTAGTTTTCTTTTTTTGTTGTTATTCTTGATTTCATTGCTTGGGACCTTGTTGCCAATCAATATACAAATAATATACAAGTGTGACTGGTAGTAAAGCAACTTTTTTTTTTTTTTAAAGATTGTATTTATTTATTTGACAGAGATAGCGAGAGCAGGAACACAAGCAGGGGGAGTGGGAGAGGGAGAAGCAGGTCTCCCACTGAGAAGGAAGCCCGACGCGGGACTGGATCCCAGGACCCTGGGATCATGACTTGAGCCGAAGGCAGACGCCTAACGACTGAGCCACCCAGGCGCCCAGCAACTTCATTTTCACTTTTGTATTTTAAGCTGATGATTTACCTGTTGTTGAAGGCCATAGGAAAATGGGGCTTTTTACAAAAAGATGTAATTCGTAACTTTCTTCAAAATTTATTTTAAATCAAAATAATACTTTGAAAAAATTTTTATTTTATTTAAAAGATTTTATTTATTCATGAGAGACCGAGAGGCAGAGGCAGAGGGAGAAGCAGACTCCCTGCTGAGCAGGGAGCCGGAGGTGGCACTGGATCCCAGGACCCTGGGATCATGACCTGAGCTGAAGGCAGATGCTTAACCGGCTGAGCCACCCAGGCGCCCCTTGAGATAATTTTTAAAGTTAACTACTACAGAACTTAAAGGGAAAACAGTAGCTCTCTGTTCCACTTCTCATAGCGAAATCCTAGTCCCTAGAGGTGACAACTTTCAACTTTTTTGGTTATTTTTTATGAAATGTGCTAAAAATAGAAAAATGTTATTCAATAGTATGCTTATACTGCTATTTCATGATTTATACATATGTAAGTCTTCTGACTTCTTAGAAAATTCAGAGGTGAAATTTTCTGATCCCATTTTGCATTAAAAAATGCTTCGTGTAGGGGGAGAGAAGCAGACTCCCTGTTGAGCAGGAAGCTGATGCGGGACTTGGTCCCAGGACTGGCAGATTATGACCTGAGCCAAAGATAGCCGTTTAACTGGCTGAGCCACCCAGACACCCTTTGGCTAATGAGTATTTTAACAAAATAAGTAGAGTGTAAAATTCAAGCTTTCGACATTGACCAAACAATAATCTTGTAGAAATTATAATGTCCTAATACTTTTCAGTATTGGGTCATTTTGATTCTTACCAGTTTCAAATCTTGTTGAGAACTTCAGCATTTCTGTGTACCTTTGTGTTATTAATATTTTGCTTGGAAACTTGGATTTTTGGCCAATTTAACCCTAAATCTGTTTTGTACTTTCAGACACACTACCTCATCTATGGGAAGGGGTTTCAGA